AAACAACTAAATACAAAGCTAGAAATAAAGTCTTCTAGTTTAACTGTAACGTTCATACTTGAATATGTAATAGCAATGTGCCTGTGACATTAGTATTTCTGAGGCAAAGCGAAAACCTCCCTACCTTGAAAACAAACTACAAACTCCCTTTTTTGGACTAGATGCATTTCCAGATTATTTCTGTAACAGAAAAATCCTAATTGCAGATTTAATTTAAAACCTGGAGAAACAAAAGATAATGAAATATTCTCAATTTGTAACACCCCCAAAATCAAAACTAAGTGTGGGAAATAGAGGACAATCTTGTGGACAAGGCAAATCAGGAAGAAATAAAAATGACATTTTCCAGGTTTCCACAGGACTTTCTAATGTAAAATGGTTGAATCAGAACTGACAAGACAACCAAGAGTCAAGGGTAGTGTCTTCCCAGAACTGGTTTCATAAGGTAAGGAAGGGCACCAAAGACACTCATTGTTTCCACTAAAAATTTACTGAATGTTTCCCCAGAAACAATAACTGATCCAGGCCTCAGTTTTATCTTCTGTAAAATGTTTATTTCCCAGTGTTGTGAGGACAGCAGCAGCTAATATTTATCAATCATGTCACTTGCTTAAGTATTTACAACGTATTTACAATAGCTATTACTACCATTTTAGATTAAAAAACTGGTCACAAAGTAACTATCAGATGATCACAACTTTGAAACCTAAGCATTACTAGGTTATTCTGAACAACAAACTTCATGCCTCAATACATGCATTCCCTTTCTTCTCAGCCAATTATATTCCTATCGCATCTTAAGAAAAAAAGAAAATGACATACTTTTAAAGCAACCTACTATGTGCCTGGCATGGTAAACTGATTAATTTGTCCTCAATAAGGGCCTTGTGTAGTTGGTTCAGATTTAAAATAAGTTTACCCTTTCCCCAGTGAAAAGCATTTATTTTACATGTAAAATGGTTCTTAAATTGCTTCTCTGACATAAATATGTTTGAGTTTGAGCCCTGTGAGTCAGGATTTCCCAGGACTTGATAACCACTCTGGGGGGGAAAAAAAAAACTGACCATTCATGTTCCAGATATACAAAATTAAGAATACTGTGCAAGGACAGACAGACTTGGGGCCTGCTGTCCACCAGTGATCTAGAATATTCTACCTACTGAACTTCATATCTCCAACCTCCCACAAAAGCAATACAAACAGAAGGCAGTAGAGACCTTGTCTGTGGGTCTTTCCCACCCTAAACTCATTCGCTTGGTAATCCAAATCTGTTTTACAACTTCTACTTATTAAAACAAAAACCATCAAGCTCTATATGTACGTGAAATCTGCCAGGAAATGGAAATTCTAGCCAAAGCATAGCTATGAAATGCTAATTATGAAAAACAACTCAAACAATCTCAGTGTATTTGCAAAGCACCTCATATGCATTTTAAATACATGACCCAGAGAAACAGATGCCAAAGGAAAGCCAAAGTTATTAAATCCAAAGTTTTTCATTTTCTTGACAGGCTCTTTCTATTTACTAAAGAAATGTACTAATATTGATTGCCTTTTGGTATTGTAATTCGGTCAACCAAAACTTGGGGAAATATGTTTATTAATACCAAAATAATGAAAAGAAAAAAATGTATTTCAACTAGTATCGATTTTTTTGGTGTGTGGAGGCAGGGTATCTAAGGGCATTATTTCCTAGTAATAATCACTTAGATTCTAAGCCTTAAACATGATTCAAATGCAGAAGAAATCAGGAAAGAAGCAACAGATATGGTGGTGCCTATCAGATGTCTAGACTACGGGCAAACCCCAAATACCAAAGAAGCATCCATGTGTCAAACCAGCATAATTTCTGAGCTATGCCTGGGGCCACACACACAAAAAAAGTTAGCTTGAAAAGAAAAATCTAGTAGGGGTAACCAGAAGGTCAACCCCAGTTCACGGGAACTGGGAAGAAGCTAGCCGTTACCCTGTGTCATCTTCCTGAGCAGCTTCCTCCCCAGCCTCTTTACAACGTTTCCAAAAGGCCCAACTCCCTAAATACTTGCTTCTTCAAGGTCGTCCTAAGATAAGGCAGTCAATAACCACCAAACACTGAGTCACGCATACCTTTCAGCTAAAAAAGATCCCCCTTCCCAAAATCACTACATAAATACTTTAAATGCCATCGGGGTTTCTCAGGAACTCACCAAAAACAAACTCCCAGACTTTTAGATTGGAAAACTAAACATGTTCAATTTTGCAACATAAAATATTAAAAGACTCTTCAAGTCTGGCAAACTCCAGTTCAAAAGCAGGTGCTTTCAGTGTACTCTGAATAACAAGGTCAAATTCATTTTTAAATTATTAAAAGAAAAAGAAAAGCTTTTCTTAATCCTCCTTAGGACAAAGTAAAGAAGGGGAGAAAGCATTGCTGGGGTAAAACTGCCTCGGATACGGTCCCTGTTTAACTAAACAGTAATTCCTAATCTTCCGAATGCCTGAAGTAATGGAAGGTTAAAGGAAGAAAATAAAAACAAAGAAACTGACTAGGGTCATAGTTACCAGAACAAGCTGCACCGCCCTACCACCCCAAGAAACCAACTCCCCCCACACCAAAACAAACCTTGCCCCTCCCCGATCCCCCACCCCCCAGAAACACACAAAGAAACCGGCCGCACACACAATTCGCCCACAGTACTCACTTCCCTTAGTAGAGCAACTGAGAGCCCCAGAACTTCCCCAGGGTGGTTTTTCGGCCGTCGTCGGGGCTGGGTCCCCTGGACTTGCGGGCCACAGTTCGGCAGGGGAGGAGGTGCTCGCTGCCCTCGCCCGTTTCCCCGAAAGCAATAAAATGCCTCCCAGCTCTTCCCAGGGCCCTAGGGTCCCCACCTTCCGTAAACCGCGCCTCCCCCTCGGGTACTCCGGTGACCGCCAAGAGAGAGGCCGAGCCCGCAAATAAGAATGCTCCCTGATGGATTTGTTGGTAAATAAGACATCTCGCGTCGAGAGGAAAGTTCCTGCGGGGGCCGCTCGCCAGGGCGAGGGCAAGGGCGAGGGCGAGGGCAAGGGCGAGGGCGAGGGCAAGGGCGAGGGCGAGGGCAACGGGAGGTGAACCGCGTCGCTCGCCGCAGCCTCCCTCACCTGCGCCGGAACAACGGGCCCCGCGCCCGCCGGGCCCGGCGCCTCCCGCAGGCCGCGCCTCCCGCACGCAGGGCTGCCGGGGCTTGTTCCTCCTCATGGCTTTGCCCTGACGTAATTCAAACATGGCAACAGTTCGACTTCAAAGGCGAACCCACAGATCTCCCAGACACAAGCTCTCGGGCCAAGAGAAATGGGCCGAGGAGTCCGGGCCACAGTCTCCGAACCCCTCGGCCGTCGCGGTCCCCGGCGCCGGAACTGAAACGCCGGGCACTGCCGCCTCCCTTGCCCGCTCGCGCGCCCGGAGCGGGAAAGCACGCCGTCTCCCTACGCACCAGCATGGCACCTCGCACAAGTAGCGCCGCCAAAGTTTCCCCACGAGGGGGCTGAGGAACAAAAGCCCCTCCTGAAACTCGCCCGAACTTTGGGGGCCCGGACCCGCACGGCCCTCAGCCCCGGCGGCTGCCCCCAAGCGCCGGGGGCCCGCACGGGCACATGCAGCCCTTTGTTTTCTGTCCAGCCGGGCGCTGCCTACGTGCAGCATCAGGGAAGTAGGCGCGTTTCGCAGGGGCCGGACACTGGACGATCACCCCGGAGAGGGGTCCGGACCCGGCGCCCCTAGGAGTCCAGAGCCTAGCCCCCCCCCCGCTCTTCCCCTCGAGAGCGGCCCCATTTAATCAAAGTTTTGCAGTGTCCTTGATGAGAAACGCCCGGAGTACCCGCCCCACACAGGCGGAGTTGGCGACTTTCACTCTGCTTTTTAAACTGGCAAGACGCCATCATCGGCAAACCACATTGTCCTGCCGGCCGGACCTACCCGACGGCGGCCGCATCCCACGGCTCACGCGGGGCTGGACATTCGGACCAGGACCAGGGTCGCGCCCGAAGCACGTGGTCTGTCACGTAGAACACAAAAAGCAGTGCCCAACGGAGTTCACTGACTCCTGCGGCGCACACAACACCGCCGCCTCCGTCCCCGGCCAAGTTGGCTTCCCTGGCCATCTTACAGCGCGGACGGCCGCCCACAAACGGGAAGCCCTCGCCGTGGCGCCCACACACCTATGCTACAGGTGAACGCACGGGGAGCAAAACTTTGGGCTACGAAGGCACCCCGGACACCAGACGCGCTTGGGCGCGGTCCGAGGAGGGTAGGCGAGTGGAAGACCGGCTGTTTTTAAGCGACCGCGTGTTGCTCTCATTGTCGCATCCGCATCCCTCCGGAGTTGAGCAAACAACGCCACGCCGCGTGCGCTCCGGCAGAGCCCAGTACTGACCCCCAAAGGCCGATTTAAAGCCCCTCAACCGCCAGCTCGGAAGCCGATGGCAACTTAAATTTCCGAGCGAATGGCGTTTATTGTCCACCCTCGTCTGGGGGCTGCAGTCAACTAACCACGAGGTTTCACAAGGGCGCCCGACCCTGCCCGCGCCTGGCGCCCACGCGGACGCACCGACCCCGGCCGCTGTGCGGTGGCCAGCGAGTCGCTTTCCTCTCAGGCCTTTCGGCCGCCGGGCTCCTTTCCGCGAGAGAACACTGCGGTGGAGAAAAGTCATTGTCACCTTCAACGTGTATCCCTCAACTCCGGCGACTCATCGATTATGCCCAGGCTCCAGTCACTTCCCCCGCCCGGAGACTTTCGGTTTGCCTCAAATACTCTCCCCAATTAAAAAATACACACTAAACACGCGCGTACCAAAGAACCTGGGGTCTGAAGAACACGAAAACAGCGCTCCCAACAATGCCACCTCCAAGACAAAACTTCCTGTGTTTGTGGAAGGACGGGGGGGAGGTGGGTGGAGGTGAAAAGAGAGGAAAAAAAAAACCACTCTGAAATCAAAGCCTCGTGAGACAGTTTTGCACTAAAGGCATAGTTAGAGTCACTAACCTTCCAAAAGCAGCCGTTCCACGCGCAACAACGTCCTGAGGTGCGGAGTGCACGCCAGGCCAGTCTCCCTCAAGCGCTCCCTCCTCCTCAACTGCCTTGTCTAGAAAGATTGTCTCCTGCAGTTCGGCAGTTGCTACCGCTGGCCGGGAAGGTGTAGATTCCGCTTTCCTTCTGCGCACGCGCGGCTCCCGGCACAAAATTCTCTTGAATCGAACTTATTTGCATACGGGCGCGCGCACGTCGCGGGCTGGGAAGGGGAGAAGGCCCGGCGACCGCGCGCGCTCCCGAGGCCTCTATTGTCCTTTTAAGGGGAGAAGCTCCGCGGCGCGGGAAACGCCGAGGCCAGAGGGAAACGGGGGCGGGGACTGCTTACTACGGCGGACGTCACATAAACAAACGCCCCCCTCCCCGCACCGCACCCCGGCTGGAGGCCGCGGCGGAGAGGGAGTGGCGAAGTGAGAAAGGGAAAGGTTAGCAACCGACGGGAAGGCTGCGCTGCGTGGCGTGCTTTCCACCCCCGAAGTTTTTAGGGGCACCATTGAGCGCTGAAAAATTGTTCTGAAAGCTGCTTTTGCAAAATTCTCACACCTTTGCTCACTTTCGGTGACAGAGGAGGTGGTCTTGGAAGCACGCAGACTGAATTTATACTAATCCCACGTTTCCTAAATTTTGTTTGAAGTCAGGTTTTTGAAGGTTTAAAAAAAAAAATCCTCTGGGACCAGCAAAGGTTTAGTTTTTGTGCAGTTGTAATGAATCGTTTAATAAAGTCCCATTTTAACACCCTATCCATTCACTAACTCCTACTTGCCCTTCTCAAATAGTAACCCAGCCCATAACAATCCAATTTTTTTTCTCCACTTTGGCCTTAAGATTTCAAGTCTCTCGGAATTCAATGATTGTTAATTTCCGTGGGAACAGTGCCGCTTTCTTTAAAAGACTAGGCGATGGAAAGCCAATAATCTAGGGAGGTGCATTCCTCCTCTAGCAGCTTGTAAAAGGTGTTCCACTCACCCAGAAATAATTCCACTAACTGGTGGTCTAGGGAATTGAAAAAGTAACGAATGATGTGCAGACTTTTCCGAATGGAATATGTAATAATTCAACAATCTAAGAGCTTTCTAGACTCATGAAGAAAAAAACTGAAGTAACTCTTCTCAGATTGTTAAGAGGAAAATGAAAACCGAACGATTATGATAAACCTTTATCCCAAGGACACACTTAACACCAACAGGCAAAGACTGGGGTTTAATGATAGAAGGTAGGGAGAGAGGAAGGATGTTTTTCCCAGAAACTTGATATTGGTCCCAAGATACAAAAGTGTGAAAATCAACCATAAAACTTAATCATCTGCTGACAAGTTTTGCTGCTTTCACTGCAGTGTCAACAATACAGATTTAAATAGGTACTTCTGCCGTGGGTGGTGGCTCACGCCTGTTATCCAGCATTTTGGGAGAATGAGGCGGGTGGATCGCCTGAGGTCAGGAGTTCAAGACCAGTGTGGCCAACACGGTGAAACTCCGTCTCTACTAAAAATACAAAAATTATCCTGGCATGGTGGCGCACGCCTGTAACCTCAGCTACTCAGGAAGCTGAGGCAGGAGAATTGCTTGAACCGGGAGGCAGAGGTGACAGTGAGCCAAGATGCACCACTGCACTCCAGCCTGGGAGACAGAGTGAGATCCTGTCTCAAAAAAAAAAAAAAAAATTACTTCTGAAATGTTAATTTAACAGGCAATTCCTAGTACATACAGTATAAACCCACTTCTGAACTCCTCAACTAATGCTTTTTTTTCTTTAGGTTCTGTAACATACTACTCCTGTACTGTATATGAAAACCATATTATAAATACCTGCTGGTGGGCACCTGTAATCCCAGCTATTCCTGAGGCTGAGGCAGGAGAACCTCTTGAACCCAGGAGGCAGAGGTTGCAGTGAGCCTAGGTCATGCCATTGGACTCCAGCCTGGGCAACAGAGCAAGACCCTGTCTCGAAAAAAAAAAAGAAAGAAAGAAAGAAAAGAAAAAACCAGAAACTCTCATTAAAATATGAGCTCCTTAAAGACAGGGATTTTATCTCTTTCTTACCCCTTGTTGTATTTCAGTGCCTGAAACAGTGCATAGCAGATAATACATACTGAATTTTTGGTTATAAGATAATAAATCAGTTGACATCCTGCATGCATTTGTTGGCTAGGAAAAAATTTTTTTAATATAATAAATGGCCAGGAGCAGTGCCTCACGCCTGTAATCCCAACACTTTGGGAGGCTGAGGTGGGCAGATCACGTGATGTCAGGAGTTCGAGACCAGCCTGACCAATATGGTGAAACCCTGTCTCTACTAAATATACAAAAATTATCTGGGCATGGTTGCGCATGCCTGTAATGCCAGCTGCTCAGGAGGCTGAGGCAGAAGAATTGCTTGAACCTGGGATGCAGAGGTTACAGTGAGCCAAGATCAGGCCACTGCATTCCAGCCTGGATGACAAAGTGAGACTCTGTCTCAAAAAAAAAAATATATATATATACATATAATATATATATAATATATATTCATATAGTAACACAGGAATGGAATAATAAACTCAAATGTGCAAGAAATGCAGGAATTACAATACTTTGGATATACTGTTCAAATAAGAAAGAACCTAGAAGCTGCAGAGCTACTGAGTTAACATAGCAAGACTTCCTCTGCTCTCAAAGTATAGATCAAGAAGTAATCTTGGTAAGTTTTATAGGAAGAATAGCTAAAATATTCTTTTTTAAAAATTTTTTTCATAATTTGTAAATTTTTCTTTGATAATCCTATTGCAATAAACAAAATTCTTAAAGAGAAATCTGAATTCCATAGTCTTTTTTAAAGTAACTATCTACTATTTTTGAACAACCAGGTGCATTCCAAGGGTTCTTTTGTCCATTTTGTTGCTTAAACATGTCATTACAGATGGCCCTACCCAGGACCAATAGCTCATGTATGGGCTGCTTTTAAATACTACTACCTAAATTGCCCAAGTGAATTTTTCAACCTGATACATGAAAGAAAAGAAGTAATTTATAATATATCAATTTGAATTACAAGGGATTGAATTACACCATGCTAGGAAAATATCTGAGTTTTCTTCTCCCCCGCCCCCGCTCTTGTTGCCCAGGCTGGAGTGCAATGGTGTGATCTTGGCTCACTGCAACCTCCACCTCCCAGGTTCAAGGGATTCTCCTGCCTCAGCCTCCCGAGTAGCTGGGATTACAGGCATGCACCACCACACTCGACTAATTTTGTATTTTTAGTAGAGACAGGGTTTTTCCATGTGGTCTCCAACTTCCAGCCTCAGGTGATTCACCCACCTCGGCCTCCCAAAGTGCTGGGATTACAAGCGTGAGCCACATGCCCAGCCCTGAGTATTTTTTAGTAACTACAATGCTATGTTGAACTCATAAGGAGTTCTCAAACATTTTGAAATTGAAATGTAACTATTTTGTTTATAATGTATGTCTCACTGTAGAATTATCCCTAATGCTTGACTTTTCATTTCTTCAGCAAATATTTAATGATGATAACTATTTGCCAGATAGTGAAATCATTTCAGAACTCAAGGGGCTCAAGCCTCTCTCATTCATTTCTATATAATCCTATTTTATTTGTTCTTTCCCCCTCCCCCAGATGGACTTTTGCTCTTATTGCCCAGGATGGAGTGCAATGGGGCGATCTCCGCCCACTGCAACCTCCGCCTCCTGGGTTGAAGCGATTCTCCTGCCTCAGCCTCCGGAGTAGCTGGGATTACAGGCATCTGCTACCAGGCCCAACTAATTTTTTGTATTTTTAGTAGAGATGGTGTTTCATCATGTTAGCCAGGCTGGTCTCAAACTCCTGATCTCAGCTGATCCACCCACCTCGGCCTCCCAAAGTGCTGGGGTGACAGGCATGAGCCACGACACCTGGCTTGCTCCTTTTTCTTCTGTAGAATTTATTGCCTTCTTTTGAGATTTATTGTGAGGATCTTTAGAATTTAATATTCTGGGAATAGAGGATAAATTATATAAAAAGGATTGTAAAAGAGGACAAATCTTGCTTGGTTATGAAGGATATTGCTAGCAATTTAGTCATGTTTATAATGACAAACTAATGATTGTTTTTAAAATAAAGGAAGATACCCTCATCAAAGGCTGGTACCAACCACATGAAAACATGTTTGCCTAGCCCAGGAAAGAGCTGATTATTATTATTAAGCATAGCGTTGGTTCCTCTTTTTCTCACACCAAAACGAGTACAATGTTTTATTAATTTGTTTAAATATCTTTGAAGTTCAAATAGCAGTGGTCAGAGCAAGTCAGATAAGCTTACAGCATAAGGTATAGCCCGGATTATGCCATCTAAGTTACCCCGATCCTCCAACAAGTGTCAACAGCTGCAAGAAAAAGTTATTTATTCCTTAATCAAAATTAACTTTTCAATTTTCTGGACATAAAAGCTTAAAGAACTATAAAAAACTTATTCTCAGAGTATCCTGAATTTATAACGATTGTAAGTTTTATAACAGTATCTTATGATATTTGAATAGCATGCTTTTATTTTTTACTTATTTATTTATTGAGATGGAGTTTCGCTCTTGGTGCTCAGGCTAGAGTGCAAAGGCATGATCTTAGCTCACTGCAACCTCTGCCTCTAAGGTTCAAGCGATTCTCCTGCCTCAGCCTCCTGAGTAGCTGGGATTACAGGCACCACCACCATGCCTAGCTAATTTTTGTATTTTTAGTAGAGACGGGGTTTCACCATGTTATCCAGGCTGATCTCAAACTCGTGGCCTCAGGTGACCTGCCTGCCTTGGCCTCCCAAACTGCTGGGATTACAGGCGTGAGCCACCATGCCTGGCCAGCATGCTTTTAAAAAATAAAAGTACCAGTAACAAAAATAGTTTTTCATTAAGAACATTGAAAAACTAGAATGAGGCCGGACACAGTGGCTCATGCCTATAATCCCAGCACTTTGGGAGGCCAAGGCAGGTGGATCACCTGAAGTCAGGAGTTCGAGACCAGCCTAACATGGTAAAACCCCATCTCTAATAAAAATACAAAAATCAGCCAGAGTGTGGTGGTAGGCACCTGTAATTCCAGCTACTCGGGAGGCTGAGGCAGGAGAATCGCTTGAACCCAGGAGGCAGAGGTTGCAGTAAGCCGAGTTCACACCACTACACTCCAGCCTGGGCTACAGAGCAAGACTCCATTTCAAAAAAAAAAGGAAGAAAAGAAAAAGAAAAACTAGAATGAGTTCACAGGAGAGTGAATCAGGACGATGAAGAAAGATGAAAACCACAACATGAAAGCAATAATAGAAGGAAGGCTGTGTTTTGAT